TATATATATATATATGTATAAACAGCACCTTTTATGTCGGTGAGTTATTTTGATGGAAATGATGGAAATGTCCGATGTCCGATATTTAACTTTATCGATAATATCGGCCGATACTGATACCGTGCCGATAATATTGTGCATCCCTAATAAATTATGTATACGTTGTGTTTAAAAATCTTCATTTCACCACATGTATTTGCATCTAACTGTGCTGTTCTCAACCAACCATGAAGACGCACACGTGCAGCACACGAGCTCTCACGATACAAAATATGAAAGTCGACACGTGTGCTAATATTGTAAACAAAGACAACAATGCTGAAAGCAACATATTTGTCCGTATGTCACTCATCAAAGCTTCAGAGCCGTTTATGCTTCTATGTATATGACAATGAGCAAAACCTTTGATGTATGCGTCTTTGCGGCAGGAACCTTTAACAGGGAACACTTTATGCAAATAAACTGAAGGAGCATCAGAAAGCCGGTGTTGAGAGCCCAAGCAGGAATGGTGCTTCCTGATACGTTTCTATGAGATGTAAATTCCATCTTCGGTGAAACATCTTCATATTTTTAAAAAGGTTAATCGCAGCGTCCTCAGAGAAATGGTTCACGATGCTGCTGTTAAAAAAAAAATCCTAATTTCATCCCAGTTAAAGTTATAAAATGATTTTAAAGATAATAAGTTACATAGAAGCCATATTAACGAGTCTTATATTTATACTGGACAGAATCATAACTGCAAGAAGTTATTTTACTTAGCTTGTGCTTTCCAGAGCTCTGAATGAAAACTGATAACTGTTTTTCCAATAAAACAAACAAAACAAAACATTATTACTAAAGAAACTTCACAGATTAAGATATTGTTGGGTTTTACAGTAAGATATTACTAAACTAATATTACACGTAAAAAATGAGCCATTTTGTTTCTGTTTTTCTCTAAATCCCAGGTCAGAATGGTCATTTTAAAGTCCTCGCAGACACACAAGGCACGTTTAGATAGATGGTGCGCTCAACATTCATCATGTTGAACGAACATATTTCCATCATTTTCAAGCCTTCTTTCTAACTCAAAAGACAAACGCACAAAAGCTTCAGCCAAAAGGTTTATTTGATTCCTCACAAGGCGGTGTCAAGGTAGATTCAGACAAGCGCTCTGTGTGTTTCATTAAGCTGTGCGCCCTCATCCTTTGGCGAATCATCCTTTGATTCCCATTTCTAAAGATCCCAGTTTAAAACTGAATGGCACTGAAGCACAGAGGTGTGTAAAGACAGGACATTTCTGCCAGGATTTAAAAACAAACCCTGATCTGTAGATTTATTTCAAGGTTAAAGCTGCTCTCTCAAGCTACTCCATCATTTGATGTAGTTCACAATCTCCTCTTTTCATAGATTCGTAGTTTGCAGTGAGCAGCTTTAATACTGAGGCGTACATGTGAATAATGACACTTCTAGATGCTCTAATGACAAATAATGTGCGATACAAAATATGAAAGAATGTAAATATTGGTGAAGAACGTTACTAGTATGCCTGCTGGCCCATGGGTGTGAAAAGCTTGTCCCACACCTCCACCTTGAGGATGGCTCTTCCCATGGGACACATGGTGGCTTTGATGTCAAGGTAGTTCCCCACGTAATTGATTCCTGACCCGTTGGCTTCTGCTCTCACAAACCCGTGCTCGTTCTCCTTCTTCTCGTAGTACATTTCTTTGTACAGATCTTTATCACAGTTACGGCCCTTTTTATAGACGCCAACCGCAAACCAGTTCTTGTACAGGTTGTAGTCCCAGGGCACAGAGAACATGATGGCCAGAGTCTCGATGTAGTCGTTGTGGGATCTTTCAAAGAGGTCGTAGGTCATCACGCCAACGCAACCGGTTGCTTTTCCGCCCGACTTTGTGAAGGTGCAAACCTCTGTTTTCAGGGGGCGCACTGAGGGTTGAGGTGGGTTGTACGTCTCTCCATTCTCCAGGTATGCTCTGAACACACAAACAAGCACATGCAGCATTTGTCACGTCTAGACTGGACTATTGCAATGGTTTATTATCTGGGTGTCCAAATACTTCTTTAAAACATCTTCAGTTGATCCAAAATGCTGCTGCCAGAGTCTTAACTGGAGTTACTGGGAGAGATCATATCTCTCCAGTTTTAGCTTCTCTCCATTGGCTCCCTGTCAAATCCAGAACTGAATTCAAAATCTTACTTCTAACCTACAAAGCTCTCAACAACCTAGCTCCATCTTATATTACAGATCTTATTGTTCCATATTTTCCTAACGGAGCACTTCACTCTCAGACTGCAGGTTTACTTGTGGTTCCTAGAGTTTACAGAAGCAGAATGGGAGGAAGATCTTCCAGTTCTCAGGCTCCTCTCTTTTGGAACCAACTTCCAGTTTCTGTCCATGAGGCTGACACATTGTCCAGTTTAAGACTGGGATTAAGACTTTCCTTTTTGATAAATCCTATAGTTAGGGTTGTCATGCTGCTATAGACTTAGACTACTGGAGGACAAACTGACCTCATTTCCTTAAATTAATTGTTAAAACTGAATAGTTTTCATTTGATACTATTTCTATCTTAACATATGATTCTTGACCTGCCATTGTGTATCTATTCCTACCAAACCCAGCCGGTCGAAGCAGATGGTCCTCTTGTCCTGATCCTGGTTCTGCTAAAGGTTTCTTCCTCATGAGGGAGTTTTTCTTTCCACTGTCGCCTTCATGCTTGTTCAAGATGAGAGTTCAGTGATGGAGTTAAACTCAAAGCTGCTCCTCACATAAATAATGTTCAATTATTATTTTATAGATGAATGTTTCTGTTCAATTATTATTTTATACATGAATGTTTCTGTTCAGTCCCTGAGACGACTTCTGTTGTCACTTGGAGCTTTAGAAATAAACTGAACTGAAGTGAATTGTCCCAAACGACGCCTCATTTAACACAGAGGTTTCTCAGCTTCGTCTCTTTGCTTACCTGGGGTTGATCAGGCAGAAGTTATTAGTGACGTTTGTGATTTCAATCGTCGCACTTCTCTTGCTGCTCACATCAGCTGCCACAGCCTCCGCAGTCTCCGCCATGATGCTTGTAAGGCAAAGATCAATCAGATGTCAACCGGACAGCACGGAAACTTTGACTCTGAGCTTTGCTGCACCAAACACACCAGGAGTTGTGAGGACGGCCCTCGTTACAGAGCAGACTGGAGGAGCTGCACTCTGTTGGCAGCACCGTGACCTTCAGACGAACACACTGACTGGTGCAAAGCGTGAATGAGGACTTTTACAAGCTGATGAGGTTTTAAAACAGTTGTGAACAATCAGAGAATGGCTGCAGACTCATAAGAAGGAGCACCACTTCAATTAGAGCAGTAAGTACCTGCAGTAATGAGAAGAGTGAAAAGATAAAAGAAAGTCATGTCCCCTTTTAGCAACAAGAACAGGAAACAAATCAAACCAACGCCTCACCATCTGACTTTTATTTCACACATTGCTTTTGTTAAAAAGTAAAAAAAAAAAAATCTTTAAAGGGAGTCGTCGTCCCCCTCCCCTAAGTTTTATGTTCTTGGTGACTTACCTGTTCAAGTGCTCCGAGGTGAAAAACAGGAAAAGGTTGGAGAGGACCTGATAGGAGGGACTAGTTTTTCTTTTTTTATTTCTCCCAGGGATGTTTTCACCCTCCCACTTGCAACACAACATAATTTGGAACAGGCACACCCTCTTTCTACACAGCAAGTCATAACCCCCCCACAAAAAGACTAATAGAACAAATACTGGTTTGCACTTAATCAAACAACCGCACCCTTGTCTGGAAAAAGATGTGAAATGTTCCTGCTTGTAGCAGAAACCATTCACTCGTCAACACGTTTATTTTAGTTTTAGTGCCCGATAGGCGAAGGAGTGACAGTGTTTTGTTTGTCTTTCTTTATTCTTAGCAAAATATCTTGTGAGTCGCTATACAGGTTTTAATAAAACTTTCAGAAAATAATCACTGAGTGAACGTTGACAACCGATGACCTTCTGGAGTCAATTTGATTCAAGATGGCTGCCACATCAAAGTAATCTGAGTAAGATACCACTTTACAGTAAGGCTCCCCTTAAAGATGGCTAATAAATAGTTTATAGATATGTTGTTAATTCCTCTATAAACACTTTATAAATAATTAACAATTGTTTATTATGCATTAATTAAGGGTGACAGAGACAAAACTGACCAGTTTCTTTCCAAATAGTGCGACAAATCTGTTCACCTACATATTTCATCTAGAGTTGTTCTATGAAACATTTCAGACTAAGTTACTATGTAAGAACAATAAACTTTAAACCTCTTTTTTAGGATCTAATATTAGTTCTAGATACTTATAATACAGGGCTGAAAAACAACATTATATCCTAAAAAAATAGGTTTATAAATGTTTATTGTGTTCACAAGGTAGTAACTTAGTCTGAAATGTTTCATAGAACAACTCTAGATGAAATACGTAGGTGAACTGATGTGGCTCATTATCTGGCAAGAAACTGGTCAGTTTTGTCTCTGTCACCCTTAATTAATGCATAATAAGCAGTTATTAATGATTTATGAAGTGTTTTTTTAAGATGAATTAATAATGTCTCTATAATCGATTTATTAGACATCTATAAGAGAAGCTTTATTGTAAAGTGGTACCCTGCACAAACATGTAAAAGGATCTAACTGAGTCTATTTTGTAGATATTGCGCTGAAGTTGATGTGGTAGTAGCAGAGACTTCTCCCTAATGTAATGTCTGAGTGCGAACTGATCTTACAAAATTTGTGTTCAAAACTGCTCTACTCACTACTTTGCCTGTCTGTCAGCAAAATATCTTGTGAACCACTGAACATATTTTAATGAACCTTTCAGGAAACGATGTACATTTAGATCTGATTATCTCTTGAATGCAACCCAATTCAGGATCAGCACCACAGTCTATGACACACAAGTCATTACGACTCAGGCAATGCAACACAGGGGTTCCCAACACTGGTCCTTGAGGAACACCATCCCGCATGTTTTAGTTGTTCCTCTGCTCCAACACAGCTGATTTTAATTAATGGGCTATTAACAGGCTTCTGCAGAACATGAAGTAATTAAACCACTGAATCAAGTGTGTTGGAGCAGGGAAACAACTAAAACGTGCAGGATGGTGTTCCTCAAGGTCCAGGGTACAGAGATCACTGATGTAACAGATATTGAGCTTAAATTGGTGTGTTAGTAGCTGAGCATTGTCTCCATCATGTTGTTTAAGGGCAACACTATGCGTTAAATCTTTATTTCAAACCTTAGCATCATCTGTTCACATCAACCCTCTTAATTTCACAAACGATTGGACAGATTTCAATGAAACTCTCAGAAAGTAAGCAATGGACATACATCTACAACCGATTACCTTTGTGAGACAACCCAATTCAAGATGGCTGCCACAGTTTGTTGGTTATATCCAACACAAAAAAGTGTTAAATCCCAGTGAAATGGAAAAATATTGTGCTAAAATGAGGTTTATAGTAGCTTAAAGTTATTCACAAAACATATTTCAAAGACTAACAGAGCATGCAAGATACTGCAATATTACATGTGCTTGCAGCATTATTGTTTAAGATGTGAACAAACAGGAAATAATATTGTCTAAAAACTTGTCATGAAAGACATTCAAGGAATGTTCTGCTTTTTATTATGACTCTGTCTCGTGTGGTTTGGGATTGCTCGTGCACTGTACACGTCAGGTCAAGACTTATTTTCTCCACGTCTAAGGTTTGTTTTCCAAATTCCACACAATCATGCAAAAATAGAGAATCTCCTCGTTTGTGAAAAACAACACTGTTATTTTACCAATTAAAAAAACATCTACGCAGACGTTCCATCTGGCGCTGCTCATTAGAATTGGATGGATACCGATAAGAGATTAAATGATAATTAATGTTCATCTGTGATAATGGAGGCAAACAGAGTGAAAACGCAATCCACACGACGAAACACAGACGTTGGATCTGAATCTTTTATTACCACAATCAAAGTGAAGAGAGTGTGCAACGTGAACACGAGCCCGAGACGTTAGCTAATGGGAAATCAATGAGCTGGCTGTCAGATATTGATAACGCTCAGCAGTAGCAAAATACAGACGACAGCAGAATCAGTCTTCTTCTCCTGAGCCTCTTCTTTGAGATGACAACAGTGGTCACATCAAATGAACTGGATTCACTTTGTGGACACAAGGATAACAAAGAAGAACCAAAAACAGAACAACAGAACACGCTAGCTGCCCATTTTATCATAGAGCTCTACTTTAACAATAGCTTTTCCTGTTGATGACATCGTAGCTCTTACATCAACATGTGTAGCTTTATATTCCAGGCCACACCCGTTGGCCTCGGAGCGGGCGAAGCTGCTGAGGTCTTTCCCATCGTACAGCTGCTCGTACAGATGTTTGTCACAGGCCCTGGATTGCTCCACCACACCCACAGCCAGCCGGTTCTTGTACAAGTTGTGGTCGAAGGGCACGGAGAACATGATGGCCATGCGCTCGGAGCAAACCCGGCTCCGCATGTGGAAGAGGTCGTAGGTCAGCAGGCCGACGGCACCCGTGGCCGTGTTGTCGTCCTTCGTGAAGGAGCAGACTTCTGTCTTTTGGGTCCGAACGGTGGGCTGAGGAGGGTGGTAACTGAAGCCACTGGACATGTAGATCCTATAAAAAGACAATGCATAGATAATCATTACTGCTGATGAAATTTAAATGAATTTTCAGTTCGCCCACTCCCTTTCACGCTCGACCTTTGAACTAAGCTCATTTTACGATGTGTCCATTTTGATCAAAGCTTGTGAACAACAACACTGTGCACCTTCTCCTTCATCAGCAAAAATCAAACACTTCACCAAGTTAGAGAAGCTTCTTGATGTACTTTCTGAGTGTTTGCCCATTCAGAGTAAAATAACTTCAGCTGATGGATGGAGTGTGACTGGAAGTACTACTGTGGAAACAACAGCGACTGTACCTGCACGCAGTGTGCAATGAGGCAAAGCACGTCACTGCGTGATGGATAGGCGGATGTTCTCAGTAAGGTAATGTCAGACGTAAAAACCACTGATCCAATATATAGCCTGTCCTGACAAAGCTGGGTGACTGTAGAAACATGACTCACATTGCAAAGACGGAGCATTCCCCCTCACGTTTGGTGTTACATTCTCAGTGTTTTAACTCAACAGCTTTGTCTTTTATGTGTCTGCTAGTAAAATATGTCATGAATCACTTGACAAATGTTGCAGAAACTTGCAGAAAGTAATAATTAGATATACCTCTACAACTTGCACTAGTTAATGCTTGGAGTTAACCCTCTTCAAGATGGCTGCCACAGTCAACCGAAGATAAAAATCACAAGAAAGGCTATAACTCAGTCAGTTTTACAAATAGTGGACAACAGTTTAGTAGCTGAAGGTGATCATCAACATATATTCTGAGCACTAACAGCATGCACAAGACCTATGTTCAAAATTTTACTACAAACTGTTCACAGTCATCTCTGTCAGCAAAATATTTTATGAACCATAGGACACCTGCCGTACACCTCGCACCACCATATAAGTTGCATCAGTCCAAATATGTCTAATCAGAGTCAGAGTCAGAGTCAGAGTTTCTTTATTGTCATTCGCACCTCATGTGGTACATGTGGTGGAGCGAAATTATGTACACAGGGTCCCAGTTACATCCAACAATAAAATGTATAAGAAAAACAGTAATAACATCTAATGAAGTGGAATAAAACATTAATAAGTCACTTCGCCGTATAAGTTGCGTCTATTATGTGTCACCGCTGACCACCTGGAAATGTGGGCCAGTGTTGTGTCAAAAATCGATTGGCTGCTAAAAGGTGGCCGCGGGAGCGTGCACGGGAGGACTTTAACAAGAATTTAACAAGATTAACATTTAAAAACAATTATTTCTTAGCTCAACATTATAGCAAAGGTGTGTCTCAGTTGAACTTTTCCTTAATAAATGCACTTTAATGGTCAAATCAGCTGCAGTTCTCCTGCGCGGTGAAATGCAGCTGATTTGACGTTTGCTCCTGGAGTTCCGGAGCGAGAAGAAGGTGGCTCTGTATGGCAAGCCAAGTGGTTCATTAATAGAGATGCACCGATCCAATATAAATATGGTATCGGTACCGATATCAAAAAAACTTCTGGATCGGTATCGGTGACGATGTGACCGACCTATGACTGGGTAGATCTATTCACTCTAACTCTATGCTCTGAGTGACGTCACGTGCCAGCGTACTAACTGAACAAATTAAAGTTGTGTTGTTTTTACATGTTTGACCGAGCTTGTGAAGCTCTGTGTGTTTAATGTTCTGGTGCAGAGTTTTCAATAAAATTGTAATTCAATACATTCATGTCCGCGTTTAACAAAAATGTTTTAAGTTAATTCAGCACTGGTTTGTAAGCTCAAACATCCAGGTAGACAACAAAAACAGCTAAATCATGTCATCTGGACCCGTTTCTGAAACAGGTCCAGATGACATGATTTAGCTGTTTTTGTTAATTCAGCAGTTTTTCTGTATCGGATTGGTATCGGTTGATACTAAACAGCGGATATTGGTATCAGATCGGAAGTGGAAAAAAGTGGATCGGTGCGTCCCTAGTCATTAATAGCCATGTTTACCTATTAATGAGACACTTGGCTTGCCATATACATTGTGGGCCCTTTAGAGGCTGAAAATGGTAGAGTTCAATACTTTCTATGTCATTTGGTTATAAATATGAAAAAAAAAAAATGTATATTAGTCTCTTTGGTGTAAAAGTCACAGGACGTGCAAATTGATGCAAAAAGGTGTGACTTATACTGAGAAAAATATGGTAATCATTTGACATTTAAATACATCTACAACTAAAACCTTTTGGAGGCAACCCAATTCAAGATGGCCGCCACAACCAACTGACCTTAGAAAACACAAGAATAGATATAATTCAGTCAGTTTTATAGAAACTGCACTAAAATGTGATGGAGTTGTACACAGCACATATTCTAAGTTCTCCTCATTACGAAATAGTTTGGCTTAAAATTTTACTGTTGGAATCCACATGTTAGCAAAATATCTCAGGAACCACTGAATGGACTTTAACCAAACTTTCAGAAAGTGTTCATTGTAATCATTAATCACACCATTAAAGTGATTATCTATCTTTAGGAGTCAGTTTTATTCAAGTAGGCTGCCACTATTAATTAACATTAGCCAACACCGCGGTCTAATCAACTTTAGTCTTTTCAAAAAGGCCATAACTTTATCAGTTTTACACAAATTACTTTCACATTGGACATGGTAGTAGCTGAGAGTCATGCTCAGTGCATACCCTGAGCTCAAACAGATTTTGCAGGATGAGATTGACCATATCATTTGTAAGTTTTGACCAAAATGTTCCAAGTCCGCCCTGAATATGATCTTACATGGCACAGACGATGGTGGGTGACATGCATTGCTCTAATTTGAGTCAGCGTTGTAGAATATGAAATATGTGCTTGTAGACTCACACGGGGTTGATGAGGCAGTAGCTGCCGCTGACGTTGGTTATTTCAATGGTGCAGTTTCTGTTGGTGCTGAGAGTAGCCGACACAGCCTCTGCAGTCTCAGGCATTTTCACTGCAACGAAAGGATACGGACCAATAATCAGCATTTATGTTGCAAAAAAAGTATAAGTTTAACATGCATTTACACTCAAAGTGCAAATTTAGGATTTAAGTCATCCAAAATAAGTTAGATGTTTGCATTTCCTGTTTGTTTGTTCAGTCAGAGACAGTTTTCTGTAAAGAACGACTAAAGTCGTGACATCACAACACACCCCATGAAACAGATTCACTAATAAATGGAACATTTTCTCTGCAACAACAAAGACAAAATGAGGAGACATTCTCGCTCTGAGAAAGTGTGATTAAATTTACCTTTTAGAGCTCAACACCGGTGTTGTGCCAGACTGCAGCGTCAAAGTTCTTATTCTCAGATCCCACAGAGAGGTGGAGAGTGTCCTGTGTGATTCCACCTCCACAGAGCCTGCTCCAACACAAACACAGACACGTCCTCTGCACACGGAACGCACACAACCCACCACAGGAAACCCAAACCGACCGAAGCCCTTCGGGCGTCTGATTTCATGTGATCACTGTCATAATGAGGGGCTTTAACTGGGGTAGGCATGCGCTCAAATTAATTAAGCATCATTTTGTGAATGCTGATTCATAGTTTTAGCTGTTTGCAAATTTACTTGGATGGGAGTTCCTTTTCCACACAATATTCAAAACTGATTATTTTTACATATATTGTGCTATTTTAGATATTTCTGCGTCACAACAGGAGATGGGTGCCACAACTTTTGTTTTTGTAATTTTAATTTAATTTATTTTTTTGCAAACATTTCCTTGTCAAAATACACAGATTGTTTCAGTTCTTTTAAAAACTTGTTTTTTTAAATCGGCTCTATTATGTCTTCTTAAACTACTTTTAGGTTTTAGCTACCATTTTGCTACCTTTAGCATTTAGCTAGGCTTTTGCTAGTTTTATTTTCTTGTTAGTATTTTCAAACTTTCATGTAGCCATTTTCTATTTTAGCTAGCCTTTTGCTACTTTCAGCCTACCTTTTTCTGTTTTGGTGTTTTACGTTAGCTCGCATTTTACAGCTTTTAGTTAGTGTTTTGCTACTTTTAGCTCATCTTTTGCTTTAATATTTTTTGTAGTTTGCTCCATTTAGCTTTTGGATAGCCTTCAGCTGTAGCTTTATACTTGTAGCTTTTAACCAGCCTTTTGCCACTTACTTGTTTACTTTTTCTAGCTTTTAGCTCATGTTTTTGCTCTTTGTAGCTAGTGCTGCCTCTTTCAGGTGTAACAAATGTTTCAGCTTCTTCAACACGTTTCGGCAGTCATTCAGCTTCAGCGTTCACTGTTTTTCATGAAAATCTCTCCTCTCTAGTTTCACATCACTCACAAAGTGTTTTCAAGGGGAAGAAAATTATTTTTCTGCACCAAGTTTGTGCCGCACGTCGACAGACAACCACCACAGGTTAACGGTTTAAATGAGGTTTCACCTGTTGCACTACAAGTGAGACTGAATCGTATGTGCAGTTCTTGTTCTGTCTTGCTTAGAATGAAACTCCCCTTTTGTTTTTCCAGGCGTTGCTCAACTGGTTATTATTGCAGGTGAGGGCAAGCAACAGATTCCTGTGGGTCTCCTGAAATCACTCACACATTTCCACACACCGTTTCTGAGCTGCTGACTCTGCTGCTGCTGGATTATGGAGCCGAGGAGGAGACGCTCCTTTCCTTCCATGTCGCTGACAAAAACACTCTTACGTAAGAAAGATCAACACAGAGCTGCATTATACTAATCCATATAATTATAAGATCCAAAATATTTCCACTTCAGAATGTTTCGCATTGTGTTCATTGACACTCATCTCAGAAGGCAACTATTTTTGCCTGATCCTCCAGGTGTGCTTGTCTGGTTTGTTAGTAAAAATATCTCAAGAACCAACGGACAGATTTAGAGGAGCCGTCAGAACATAATCGTTAGATGTTCATCTACAACTGATGCACTTTTGGACTCTGCCCGATCCAAGATGATGTCTCAGCTGAGCGAGTTTAACAAACACTAAACCAGAAATAGCGCAGCCAATTTTAAGGACTTCAGCTGAAATGTAGTGTTTTTTACTCTGAGCCCTAATGGGTCACTTAAGACATCTTTCAAAATGTTTATTTAAAAACCTTTAGTTTAACCTCTGGTATGGAAGACACTGAGCGACAGGCGTTCCTTCAAGAAGAGCTAAGCTTGTAATTATTTCATAAAACAGTGTGTACAATATTATGGTGGTTCTGTTACATTTCTTGGATACCTGGAACTTGTTAGATGTCATTCAAAGCTTGAAGTCAGCAGATGGCACCAAACATGCATTTGCACAAATACATTTGCACAACAGAGAGTGTCAGTTATAGTTTGCTGATATTTAGCCGGTAGGGGTGGAAAAAAAAAATCACTGACAAACATTATATTATATGAGGCATGCGTGTCCTTCAGTTTGTTCTATGATTATTCAGAAATACTATATGTCTTTAAGATGTTTCTACTGGATTATAAAGACAGAAAAATGATATGAAGCGTCCACATTTTTAATATTCAAGCTGTACTTTGGAGCAGTTCGGGTGTGAAGCGGCTGGGATGAGAATCAGCACCTCCAAATCTGAGGTCATGGTCCTCAGTCAGAAAAGGGTGGATCGCTCTCTTTGGGTCGAGGGTGAGGTTCTGCCTCGAGTGGAGGAGTTCAAGTATCTCAGGGTTTTGTTCACGAGTGGAGGAAGAATGGAGCGTGAGATTGACAGATGGATTGGTGCAGCAGCTGCAGTACTGTGAATTCTGTGCCGGTCCATTGTGGTGAAGAGGGAGCTGAGCTGTAAAGCAAAGCTCTCTGTTTACCAGTCGGTCTACGTTCCTGCCCTCACCTACGGACATGAACTCTGGGTAGTGACTGAAAAAACTATATTGCAGAAACAAGCGGTTGAAACGAGTTTCCTGCACAGGGAAACTCTTCCTTAGAGACACGGTGAGACGTTCTTCAGACTGAAGAAGTCTTTCGGATGAAAGACGAAACGTTTCTTCTTCCTTTTTTGTTTTTTTGAATGTCCAGAGGACCGGACTTGAATTTTTTAGAATTATGGCTAAAGTTTTAAGCATGGATGGTGCACAATGTTTAGCATTTTGTTTATGTGTCATGGACGAATTTCAGCTACTACCACAACAAAAAATAGATCAATATAGATCAATATCTGTAGGACTGCTTAAATAAAAGTCATTTTTCTGTTAGTCAACGTTGATCTCATGTAGCGGCACATTGAGTGAGGCTGACTACCAAATGTAATCAGTTGTAGATCATCCAGTGATTACTCCTTTAAAGTTATGTTAAAATGTATCCACTCATCATCCATCCATCCATCCATCCATCCATCCATCCATCCATCCATCCATCCATCCATCCATCCATCCATCCATCCATCCATCCATCCATCCATGCCACGAGGATCCCTGGTGCCCATCTCCAGCAGTCAGTGTGCGAGACGCGGGACTCCCTGACCAGGTTCCAAGTCCATCACAGTCTGGTGATATTTTGCAGACAAATGAACACGTGCACAGACACAAGTTAAAACACTCTCATCGCTTTGCTTTTTGGCAGCGCGCGATAATAATTTACGTAAAATACTGTTTTAGAATGCAGATTTAATTGATGCAACTTGTCAGCGCAGCAGTCTCATGTTCCTGAGCCTTTGAGCCCAAGTTGCAACAGGAAGTGCAAATAGCCAGATTTTTTTGTTGTGCAACTTTGCTCACCTCTGCAGAAGTTGCAGCCGAAAGACAAACAACAGCAACAACAATCAACAGGACACCATGAACACTGAGGCTGAGAATCAGAAACCATGCATGAAAGTTGTTTTTTTGTAACGTGACTTCTCCTTTGCTGCCATCTTCAGGCCGAACTTGACTTCTTTTACATCAGTCAGTAGCTCTGTTCCTCCTTTGGAACACAAATGCAGTAAGGACATAATTGCCAGTAAGCCGTGCCTCTCTTGAGCTGCACTTACAGGGGTTAACAGAGAGCACCCTGCATTGTGCATGATCACTAATTTAAGAGCTCATCTCTCGCCAAATTACCTTCTTATTAAGCAGGTGTGTTAAATGTAATCACACTCCAGTTGTCTTCCTGAGAACAGCTAGTAAGAGGGAATTAAAGATGGCAGCAAAAGAAAAGAAAAGGCGTAATCACTGGTAGTGCGATGCTGAGGCTTTCAGGGTGTTATGACAAAGTAAATACACGCTGACTACATAACCGTATTTAATTAGTGGCTGTCATGTCAGGAAGTCAACCTCGTGTCGTCTGTGGTGCAGTTTTGGTACGTTAGACACCTTTACTGACGCCACGCTTTGTGTGTCAGGTTGTAGTTTGAGTGAAGCTGAAAAAAAATAAACATGTATGAACCGTTTTTTAGGATGTAGCACAGCTCATGATTTGCATCAAATCTGAGCTGAATCAAATTAAACCGTCAGTAGTGAGCACGTTAGTTACAACAGTGTGAATGCTGATTCAGTATACCGTATTTTTTGCTGTATAAGTCGCAGCTTTTTGCATAAATTATCCGGCCCTGCGACTTACACAGCGAAGCAACTTATTTATGTTTTTCTCATATTTATAACCAAGTTTTGGCTGAGATCTGACGATTGAATTCATTCTGGAAAATATTGAACACTAACATTTTCAGCCACTAGAGGGCCCTTGACTAATATGGAAAGCCAAGTGTCTCATTAATAGGTAAAAGTGGCTATTAATGAGACTCTTGGCTTGCCATATAAAGCCACCTTCATCTCGCTCTGGAACTCCAGGAGCAAATGTCCAATCAGCTGCATTTCACCGCGCCGCCCAGGAGAACTGCAGCTGATTTCACCATTAAAGTGCATTTACTAAGAAAAAGTTCAACTGAGACACACCTTTACTATGTCAAGCAAACAAATAATTGTTTTAGGTGGTTATCTTGTTAAATTTAGAAGAAATGCACAACGAGTTCTCCCGTGCATGCTCACGCTGCTGCGAATCGGCTTTTGAAATGCAGCTGATTTGGTGGGTGGAAAAATTAGCTTCTGTTCTAGTTTATGGATTTTTTTAATTAACAGATAAAAAAAATAACTATTTGGTCACTGATCTTCAGCACAAATAAAAAGCTTCAGGAGACAAATTATTCTTAAAAGGAAACTATAAAATGCGGGATACTTAAAAAAAAAATCATTTTGAAAACAAGAAAACTGATTCAAATAAAAGACAAAAGCGGAGTGCACGTTGTTTCAGTGTTTTTTCCACAAACATTTGTAAGATGCATTAGATTTAAAGAGAAACTTCCCTTTTTTTTAAATGACCCTAAACACTTTCAGAACAACAACAATTTGATCATTATACCTAAAAGAAAATAGGAGAAAGTTCTCCCAGTTTTCCCATTATATCCATTATTACATATACACGCTCTCCATTTTGTCTACTATGTGTCTGGTTTTGTTTTGACCTTTTCCCAGAATCCCTTTTTTCTTTTCCAAATGTGATATCA